CTGGTGTTGGCCAGAGTGGCCACCAGGGAAACCTGGGGTGGGCTAGCCTCCCACTAGTTCGAATTAAGGGGCTACACACCCCCTAATTCGAACTAGCTAGTTCGAACTAGGCTTAATCCTCGTAAAATGAGGATTACCTAGTTCGAACTAAGCGCTCCGCTAGTTCGAATTAAGTTCGAACTAGCGGAGAGCTAGTGTAGTGCCTATGAAAGTTAGTTCGAACTAACATCTGTTAGTTCGAACTAACTCTGTAGTGTAGACATACCCAGAAGCAGGAGTATAGATAAGGAAGAAGATGCTTGTGTTAATGGAGCTAATCAAGTCAGAGAGGAAGTAGGTTATTCACAGCATTTGATATGGAGTTGTGAATATCAAGAGAAGGGAAATTGCCTTTGTAATGTGTTACTAGTTGAGATCCTTATTAGATCATATATTGATGGTGTTGAATTTGCAAATGAATTCCAGTTCAGCTGTCTCCCTTTGTAACCAGTCTTTGAAATTCCTTTGTAGAAGGATGGCTACTTTCAAATCCATTACTGAATGTTCAAGGAGGTTAAAGTGTTCCCCTACAGGTTTATGTGTGTTACCATTTCTGATGTCTGATTTGTGTCCATTCATCCTTTGCCACAGAGACTCTCCAGTTTGGCCAGTATACATAGCAGAGGGGCATTGCTGGCACTTGATGGCATATATCACATTAGGGGATATGCAGGTGGATGAGCCCCTGATGGCGTGGATTATGTGGTTAGGTTCTCTGATGGTTTTGCTTATATATGTGTACAGAGTTTGTTGCGGGGATAGTTCCTGGGTAAGTGTTTTGTGCATTGTCTTTGTCCAATAAGTGAGGATCAGTCCTTTGGTCTGACTGAGCATGACTGTTATATGTTCTTATGTTCTTCTTTATTGTTATTCAACTGATGTAGTATGATCTGCCAGTTGAGGCAGGCAACTGATGTAGTATCATCTGGCCAGATATTTTGGGGCAGGCAATATTTAGGGCACCTTTTCTAGCCCTTTCATTTAAAAAGAGCAATTCTAAAAATGGATGTTCAGTCACATAGGATGCTGCCAAAATTTCTCCACTACCTGAGGATCAGGAATGATTGGCCATTAGTCCCAATGCCAGCTCTGTGCAGAATTGTAGCTATGACCGACCACCAGTGGCCATCTCCACCTGTTACTTTGCCACACCCCCATCACCACGGGACTTGAATTAATGATATGATGATAATGATGGTGAGATTTGATAAGATGTTAATGAGATGAGGCTTGCAAGAATAATGGGGACATATGTAAGTGAGAAAGTCACTGAAGTCCCACCTCTCTTGGATGTGGAAGCCAGATTCCAGCTGCACAAAGAATTGTTGTAATTGGGGATTTCCTTAGCTGTAGTGGGTAACCAAGATATCTTCTGTGCTTTGTCATGCTCTCTATGCCCCACAGTACATTGCTGAACTGCCTTCATGGCTGTGGAATCACAAATTGATTTCCTTCACCCAGTCCACAAGAACAGTCTTTACATGTTGGAAAAAGGCAGTTTCTCTGTCACCAAGGGCAAAAGACCCATCAGCTACTCTCAGATTGTTTGGCTCACTTGCCACTTGGCTCACTTTGGCTCACGTGGCAGTTTCCCAGGGTGAGCCGCTGTAGCATGTAAACAGCTATTTGGAGCCACATCTGAGAGCTGGGTGTAAGTGGGGCCAAAGCACATGAACCAGTCCCAAAGAAGCTTGATGCGTTCTGCCCATACAAAATGCAGGTCCTAATATCATAACCTTGCCTGTTGATATGATCATGTCACTCCCCTCTTTTCATCCCCTTCTTGGGTCTCCATCCACTATCACAGCAAATGTAAGTTCTTTTTACCACAGCTCTACATTGTTCAACCCTCTGTACTTAGTTGAACTTAGTTTCCCCCATCCCCCTTCTGCTTACTAGTGATTCTACTTCCAACTATTTCAAGCACTAAGATCAAAAAGAATAAAAATTTGGGAAATTAACATTATAAGGCTATGTCTAGACTGCGTTCTTTTTTTGAAAGAGGATATGTAAATTCTGCGGGAATTTGCTTATCTTCTTCCCATCTCACTTTCAAAAGAGGATCTTTCAAAAGTGAAAGTAGTCTGGATGCAGGTTTTTTCCGGAAAAAAACCTTGTTTTCGAAATAAAAAATGCTCTTCCTTAAAAAATGAGGTTTAACCGGTTTTTTCCTGGGAAAAAAAAACACGTCCAAACTACTTTAACAGAAGATATGCAAATTCCCACAGAATTTGCATATCCTCTTAAAAAAAAACATAGTTTAGATGTACCCTAAGATAAGTTCTCAAAATTCCAAAGTAGAGTATTTACCCTTTTATATTTTATTCCAACACAGGGTGCTGTTATAGTAGCACAATTATACTGCAATAGATGTGGTGGCCTATATACCCAAGTAGAGAAGCCCTATATCTAGGGAGGAGTTCTCTGCTACTTTTTAAGGGCTGGACACTTCCCTTAATTGGTCACACCCAGAGGTGTTGAAAAAAACTCCCTGTCTAAGTATCTTTGTGTTCCTGCCACACAGTGATATTACCTTTGTAGTAGTTTCCATCACTTTCAGACAGTGTTTCCTTTCACAGCCAGGAGAAAAATATTTCTGTGTCTGAGGTTCTTTCAATTTAAAATGTGTAACTGTAGTAGACAATTAAGCAGCCACACTTAGGCTACGTCTAGACTGGCATGATTTTCTGCAAATGCTTTTAATGGAAACGTTTTCTGTTAAAATCATTTGCTCAAAAGAGCGTCTAGATAGCACGGACGCTTTTCCGCAAAAGCGTCCATGCCAATCTAGACGCGCTTTTCCAAAAAAAAGCCTCGATCGCCATTTACGTGATCGGGACTTTTTTGCGCAAACAAATCTGAGCTGTCTACGCTGGCCCTTTTGCCCGAACGGGAGCAGCATAGTATTTCCGCAAGAAGCACTGATTTCAGATAGTAGGAAGTCAGTGTTCTTGTGGAAATTCAAGCGGCCAGTGTAGACAGCTGGCAAGATTTTCCACAAAAGCAGCTGGTTTTGCAGAAAAACTTGCCAGTCTAGATACAGCCTTAGTGTCATTAGTTAGTCCTCAGCTAATGGACTTCTCTAGGGTTTGTCCACTTCTAAAGATGTTTTTTCCTTCTGGCTTTCAGCTAGCACCGTATATGTATGTACCCTGGCATAAGATATTTTTTTCCCAAAAAAATACCAGCTGCAGGTGAATTAGAATTTTAGGAACTACAAGAAGTAAATATGCATCTACTTTCTCTTTCTCTCTGGCAAATGGAATGGAAGTTACTTCCATCTCTTTATGGCTAACAGCTCTCCAGAGATGTTATATTCATGTTGCCAACACCCCTGTTAGACCTATTTCTCCAGATGGTTCGATGCAATAATTTCATAGGATGTATGACATGTCATTTAGGGTAGTTGGGTTTTTTGTTTTTTTCTCGCTGTTATATTTGACCAGTAAAGGAAGTGCACTTTCTCTCAAGGCCCCTTCCAGTCCTAGTATTCTATTATTCTATTATTCTATTTTGTTCCTATCTTTCATGAAAACACTGATATTTCTATGAACACTGCTTTAAAGAGTAATTCATGCCATTGTAAAGGCACTATGCCACCATCTAATCTAAAACAACTCAGAGCAAGCAGAACACATCAGTGATGCAAAGCCCATGAAAGAGGTAATGCAGGAAGCACAGATGTCAGTATAACCTTTAATCCCACCTTCTTCTCTGACTTTATATTTTATTGTAGAAGGTTGATGAAGTTGAGAGGGGATACATTTAGAGATTAAAGAGGTAAACCATGGGGTTATCTCAAATTATGCTATTTCTGTCAGGTGCTGTTTTGTCAAAAAGAGATCATTGCATTTGGAAGTACAGTAAACTTCTGATAATACGGCACCTTTAGGACCCAGGGGGTGCCGGATTATCAGATATGACGGACTATCAGAAGGGGGGCTATGAGGGGTCTGGAGTAGGGTGGGAGGGGATGCCACCCCAGACCCCTCATAGCCCCCCCTTACGATAGTCCGGCTCTGCCCCAGGCCTCCCTGATTCAGCCGCTGCTGGTCAGTTTCAGCAGCAGCTGAATCAGGGATGCCTGCAATAGAGCAGCTGGGGTGCTGCCGGGTTGGTCTCGTAGCGCTGCCCCTCGGGGCTGCGGGACCAACCCGGTAGCCCCCCAGCTGCTCTTGGGGACGCCTGAGGCAGAGCAGCTGGGGTCCTTCCGGGTTGGTCCCGCAGCGCCGAGGGGCAGCGCTATGGGACCAACCCGGCAGCAACCCAGCTGCTTTGCCCAAGGCGTCGGGATTCAGCCGCTGCTGAAACTGACCAGCAGCGTCAGTTTCACCAGCAGGCTGAATCCGATCCCCTGGGGCAGAGCAGCTGGGGTGCTGAGGGGTTGGTCTGGTAGCGCCGCCCCTCGGCGCTGCGGGACCAACCCGGAAGGACCCCAGCTGCTCTGCCTCAGGCGTCCCCAAGAGCAGCTGGGGGGCTACCGGGTTGGTCCCGCAGCCCCGAGGGGCAGCGCTACGAGACCAACCCGGCAGCACCCCAGCTGCTCTGCTCCCGGCTTCCCCGATTCAGCTGCTGGTCAGTTTCAGCAGCAGCTGAATCAGGGATGCCTGCAATAGAGCAGCTGGGGTGCTGCCGGGTTGGTCTCGTAGCGCTGCCCCTCGGGGCTGCGGGACCAACCCGGTAGCCCCCCAGCTGCTCTTGGGGACGCCTGAGGCAGAGCAGCTGGGGTCCTTCCGGGTTGGTCCCGCAGCGCCGAGGGGCGGCGCTACCAGACCAACCCCTCAGCACCCCAGCTGCTCTGCTCCCGGCTTCCCCGATTCAGCTGCTGGTCAGTTTCAGCAGCAGCTGAATGGGGGAAGCCTGTCCGGCTGCCCCAGCACTTCCGGGTTCCTGATGGTGCCGGACCATCAGGAGTCCCGGAGCATTGGATGCCGGACTAATGGAGTTTTACTGTACTTAGCTTTTCAGAAGCAAAATGGCAATAGTGAAGGCAGGTTAAACACTTTTGAACTGAATTCTGAATGTAAACTCAATCATCATCCTATTTACGATTTTGTTGACCTTATTTATATTATTGCTTTTTTTTAGGGTTAGAAGAGGAAATCTGCACTGCCTGCTGTTCACTTGTGCAGGAGGATGAAAAGGCGTGAAAGTTAAATGTGTTTCGTGCAGTCAGTTCCCCCCCTTTGATTGTGTTAGTACCAACAGCAGATACCCAGTGAAGGAACCCAAATATTTCTCTCAAAGAAGTCTTTCAACTGACAATAATGGGAACTTATTTAAATAGTGTTGTCCTGAGTAAGCAAAGAAGTGTTGCACAAGAGAAGACAAGAATTGAAATGTGCTTGTTGAAGAACTATAGTATTTGCATGCAGTGAAAATTTTTAACAAGTTATAAATAACAACACTTGTAAGAGTTCAGCTGTTCCACTGCTTTGCCAAAGACATTTGGAATGATAACTTGCAATTTATTGTGGTTATGAATGCTATTAACTCTCCTGCCACATTTTATTATTTAATAATTAATTTTATAACAATTGTTAAGTTATTTTATTAAGTATAAATTAAGAATTTTGATAGATAAAATGTATTCCCTAAAACTCATAGTGCTAACATTGGTTCTTCTCAGTCTGAAACATTTACTCCAGTGAAAGAAGAGTGATTATTAAATAAAATATCAAACACCAATACAATACCAAATAAAAACAAGGAAGCAAATAATTAAATATTATCTTGCTTTTCAAGCTTGAGGCTGATCCTGCAGCCATTCATTGTGTACTCCTATTAAAGTAAATGGGAATTCTGTGCACAGAAAGGCTGCAGTGTGGTAGGTCTTTTGTTTTCCCTTTGATAAGCAAGTATAACTCACATCAGCATTAATGAGGGTTACACATGTGTCAGGACAACACCAGAATCAGCATATTAAGATACATTCAGCCTTTCCAAACTAGAATCAAGGGGCCAAATTCTTACAGGTCTCAGAGAGATGAATCACAGTGGCAACTGAAACAATTCTGTTTTCTTCTTAACAGTATGTTCATTGAGTTCAGGGTCAATGTGGAAAATTATTGTCTCGTGTTAAAATCCTAAACAGCTATTGTCTGAAGCCATAAACTGAAGGTGTGTTATTTCCAAAGAGTAGCAGATGCTATCCTAAAGAAACACTATGTTGCCACCACAAACTCTAGTCTATTTATAAATTATATTGCATTACAGAAAAAGAGACATTAAAAGAATGCTACTCTAATTTCAAAATCAAGCTACGTGCAAGTCAAGAAACATCTGAATTTTGCCTGTTCAAAAGTCACTTCCCTGACTCCAGAACTACCCTCTTGCCAAATTTCAAGGTTCTTCTGCCAGCCATGGAGATATTAGAACTCTTCAGATTATAGCTGGAAGGGTTTTAAAACTGGAAAGTGTAAGGCAACCTATATCGGGGACTGGACTCGATGACCTTCGAGGTCTCTTCCAGTCCTAGTATTCTATGATTCTATGATTTGTGGGTCATAATCAGATCCCAGGTAATGTAAAATAAAAATCTTCCTTTCAAAATAGTGGTGGATCTGAACTAAAAGTTCCCTGATCCAAGCACCTCAAGAATTTGGGGAATAGTTCACATCTGGACCAGAACATAGCTGCTTCTACTTTTCTCCTTGTGTGATACATTTCTTTAAGTGTTTTCAAGTTATACACAATGGCTGTGTCTAGACTGGCCAGTTTTTCCGGAAAATCAGCCGCTTTTCCGGAAAAACTTGCCAGCTGTCTACACTGGCCGCTTGAATTTCTGCAAAAGCACTGACTTCCTACTGTAAGAAATCAGTGCTTTTTGTGGAAATACTATGCTGCTCCCGTTCGGGCAAAACTTTTGCGCGAAAGGGCCAGTATAGACAGCTGAGATTTGTTTTCCGCAAAAAAGCCCCAATCGCGAAAATGGCCATCGGGGCTTTTTTGCAGAAAAGCGCGTCTAGATTGGCCACAGACGCTTTTCCACAAAAAGTGCTTTTAATGGAAAACTTTTCCGTTAAAAGCATTTCCGGAAAATCACGCCAGTCTAGACGTAGCCAATAGGAGTTGAAGAAAATATGGAGAAATTGAGAACAAGAATCAAACAATTTTCCTTTTTTCATGCTAGCACATGTACGTTTTCCCTAGTAGGATAAGATCTCATTTGTGCTCCTATTTTTCAGACTTATAATTCCTAGAGAATGCGGATTCACTGGCTTCAGATCAAATGTAGACATGGCTCTGTTTTTTTATTGCTGTACAAGTTGAACCTCTCCAACACACTTAGGTCCTGACCAGTGCTTAACCAGAGAATTTGCTGAACCATGAGAGGTCAATATTGTCTAGCATCATTACCAACCCTTCCACTGCTTACTGGTCTCTTAGAAGACACTTAGGATGTGTCTAGACAGTACCTTTCTGTTGGAATAATGCAAATTGTGTAGCTTATTCCGAGTCTAGGTCGAAAGAGCTTATTTTTAAATTTGGCACTTTGTAGACAGCACCAAATTTCAAAATAAGGCACTATTCCAACAAATTCCTTAACCCTCGTGGAACGAGAGTTACAGGGATGCCAGAATAGTGCACCCACTATTTTGGGAAATAGTGGGAGTGTTTAAAGATGCAGCGTTGCTATTTCAGGATACTCCTGGTATCCCCAAATAGAGCTACAGTCTCAACATACCTTTAGAGGTAAATTAGAGCTAAATAACAGCACAGAATGCTGAGAGCCAGTACTGGTCATAAACAAACCTTATAGGACTGTGGGAAACTTGGCCACAACCATGATAAGTGGACATCTGGCAAACTAAAATCATTCCGGACAAGGGATGTTACCGGACCAGAGAGTGCCGGACTAGAGAGATTCAGCCTGTATTGTCTAATAGTGCAAATCTGAGCCCATCTGAGTCTTGTGTGCATTAACCTTTCATCTCAGGGTATGTCTACACTTGCAGCCTACTTTAGAATAGGGCTGCAAATGTAGGCATTTGGAATTGCAAATCAAGCCTGGGATTTAAATATCTTGATTTGCATCTTCCCAGCCAGGTGCCATTTTTGAAATGTACAAGCCTGGAATAACTGCCCGCATCTACATGCGGCAGTGAAATGGGCGTTTGAAATAAACCCTATTTTGAACTACCTGTTAAACCTCATTGCAGGAGAAATAACAGGCAGTTTGAAATAGGGCTTTATTTCGAATGCCCATTTCACTGCCGCGTGTAGATGTGGGAAGTTATTCCGGGCTTGATTTGCAATTCCGAATGCCTACATTTGCAGCCCTACTCCGAAATAGGCTGCAAGTGTAGACATTCAGAGTTCCTGCTCTCTGAAGGGCATATCTTTTTTGTAAGTGCAAAGTAAGGGTCCCAATGTATTTAAATACTTGTTGTAGTAACATGACTAAGCATATACTATGTAGATATTAAAAGGAAACATCTAATTTTGTTCAAATCTGGTCAAATCCAAAGTGTGTGATCACATTAGCAACTAAGCAACAAATACCTGTTACTTATCTTTATTGTGTACTTGGGGTGAGAGGGTATTTTTTTATTTTAAGTTTTTATTAGCTGGAAGTTGGTAACTGTTTGGGAAGGGGACTGAAATGTAATAAATTAATAGTTTTTTTTTTAATTAGCCCAACTTGTGTATCATCTTACACTGTATCAGTTACTATTTAAAATACTGATACGATAGAAGGAGAATAAGTATTATTTGAGATCACAGTCTTCTCATGGTCAATATAATGTCTGGCTTTGAGCTTTATAATAAAAAGCTATTGCTCTGCAGGTTGAAAGAGTAACTAAGTAACCAGTACCTTATGTCGCAGTATTAGATTATTTTTGCCCACTGGAATTACTTTCTTCAAACCAAATGCAAGACTTTTCTCTGCAAGCTTATATAAGTTGTATTTTAACCTTTTACAAATGCCTTTTTGACCTAAATGTTCCAATGCTTTTTTATTCTGTTTCTAGTCACATGGCCATGAGACCTTCTCAGATAAAAGCAGAACTCCGGTGATACTAGTAATATCCATCTCAGATAAATGTAAGTGAAAATGTCCCTCACATTCATTGAACAATTTAGTTTTTAAAAGGAAAGAGAACCTTTCTGGGCAGCTCCTGATGCACTTGGGAGTAATTTGTCTCCTTTTTCTTAATTATTTTCAGTGATTTAGTTTCTTATGACAAGGCTGGCGGAGGGGTGGGGGGAAATAGAGAAAAGTGAGAAGGACAGAAGAGAAAGGAAAAAAAGAGAAGGGAGTCACAGAAGCCAAAGGGCAAGAGTATGCAACAGAAGAACTGGTGGGCAGAAACAGAATCAAGAAGGACAGAATGAAAGAGGGGGAAAGGAAACAAAGGTCTAGAATAAAGAAGGGTGGAATGAAACAGATGTGAATGATACAGAACAATGCAATTTAGCAGCTGCTGTTATTGAAAGAATCTTTGAAATAATTCTTTCCTTTCTTCCCCTGCCACTAACATTTAATAGGATTTTGTACTGGAAAAAAAATACTAGAGGAATACCCCCTGCCAGACATAAGTAGAACCCCTCCCCCCCGCCATGATTATATACATTACGTGGTTGCTGATTTCAGATTCTGACATTTTTCTGTATTAATTCCCTAAATTATGTAGGTGAGACAAATAGGAAAACACACCAGTGGCATGCTCTTGGCTTCACTCAGGATCAAAAGTAAATGTGAGGGATTATAATAAAGGTGAACCACCATGTGTGCAATATTAATTTCAATATTTATTACTGTATTAAATTGTGTTAAATACAAACAATTTTAAATACTTATTTAAATTTTATGGACATCCTCATGTACCATAAAAATAGGTTGCAGAAAATTACTTTCAGTATTAAGAAAGGGATGTAAATAGTGCATAAACAGTACAAAAGCTTTCTATAGCACATGGGAACCTTTTTTTTTCTCTACTATTATGGCAGAGTGGGGGGTAGAACTCTATTAAATCATGAAATATGAATTGAAGATAATGTGCTGAGGTGGCACTAGTTTGGGCTTGCCCAAAAGAAGACCTGAGGTGTGGTGGATTCTGGGGGGAGGGAATCAGGCATTTGCCTGAAGACCTCAGAGTGATAAGAATAGTGATAGAGATGTAGCCGTGTTAGTCTGGGGTAGCTGAAGCAAAATGCAGGACAATGTAGCACTTTAAAGACTAACAAGATGGTTTATTAGATGATGAGCTTTCGTGGGCCAGACCCACTTCCTCAGATCAAATAGTGGAAGAAAGTAGTCACAACCATATATACCAAAGGATACAATTAAAAAAAAGAACAAATATGAAAAGGACAAATCACATTGCAGAACAGAAGGAGGAGGCGGGGGGGTGGGAAGGGGGAGGAAGGAAGGTAAGTGTCTGTGAATTGATGATATTAGAGGTAGGGAGAGTGGGATGTTTGTGAGTTAATGGTATTACAGGTGATAATTGGGGAAACTGTCTTGATAATGGGTGAGAAAGTTCAAAGACTTGTTAAGTCCCTGGTGGTAAGTGTCGAATTTTAACATGAATGACAGTTCAGAGGATTCCCTTTCAAGTGAGATTGAGTCCTACCCTCCCCCCATCCTCCCTTGGAGCAGCTGGTCAGCCAACACCAGTTTCCCCAGATGTGGAGCAGGCTCTGTTATTAGGAAGGCAGAAGAAGGTATTTCCGGGAGGTGGAATAGGTTCTGGACCCTTCTAGACAAAGGAATTTAACCCTTCGTTGAAAGGCTTGTCTTCACTTAAAATTCTACTGCTGCACCTCTGTAGTGCTTCAGTGAAGATACTTAGCAACACCAATGGGAGGGCTTTTCCCATCATCATAGGTGTGGCCCTACCAAATTGACCGCCTATTTTGGTAAATTTCACGGACACTTCATTTTCGAAATCTCGAATTTCACAGTTTCTCATAGTTAAATCTTAAAACCAATGGAGTCCTGATGCAAAAGAGGGTCACAGGAGGGTGTTGCAAGGTCATTGTCGGAAGACTGTGGTATTGCCAGACTTACTGCGATATAGCCTTCAGAGTTGGGGCACTGGAGACTGGTGGCTGCTGGCCAGGAGCTTCGCTCTGAAGGCAGAGCCACTGCCACCAGCAGCAGAAAAGTAAGGTTGGCAATACCATACTATACCATCCTTACTACTGCACTGCTGGTGGCAGTGGAGCTGCCTTCTGAGCTGGGTGCCCAGCTCTGAAAGCAGCATAGAAGTCTAAGTGGCAATATTGTGTCCCTCCCTCCCCCCCAATAATCAGATTTCATAGGGGAAACCAGATTTCATAGTCCACAATGCATTTTTTTGGCCATGAATTTGGTAGGACAGTAGGCATAGGTAATCAACCCCCCATTAACCTAGCTCTGTCTACACCAGGGTGTACGTCGACATGGATCTTCCCTATTTGAGCACATGGTACGGAGATGGAGCTGGTTCTGCTCTGTGCCAGGGGAGCTAACCATCGCTACTCATGACAACATACAGGAAGAGAGGGCAGGGAGAACTTCTTCCAACCTGAAACACTGATAAACCACAAATTCACAGAAGGGATGGTGTGTTTTAGGTCATTTTTTTATTTTAAAGTTCTGAAACTCTTGAGTGACTTGAAGAATAAAGTTCCTGCAATTAAGAAATTTCTTTGCTAAATCTGTGTTCTGTGTTTTTCTGCTGTGTTGTCTTTGATTAAATGAGTGAGGCCCAAGAATCCTCAACTAAGGTGGATCACTTACACGGGAGCATGTGTAAGTGAATTTGGGGGAGAGGTTATAGGGATGTTTCTGAGAGTGGTTTCAGAGCCTGGCGGCACCATTGTCCAGCTCCCATACCCTGAGACATCAGACAAGGAGCCCAGGAGTGTTGAGCTCTGCTGAGCTAAAAACAGTGACTAGACTCTGCCCAACTGGCTTGGAAACATGTTGGCCTCAGCAACTGGGTCCACTTGCAACAAACTGGTGACCACAGAGTTACAGGCTTAGTTGGATGTAATACCTATGAACAGCACTTTCATGTATTTGTGTGTGTTACATTATACCCATGCACGTGTAAATATTACAAATACATATAATATGAGAGTAAGCAAAACAGAAGGATATAGATATGTGACCTGCACAGTCTGGGCAGGATCATTCATAGTTAGGACACGTGTTCACTACAGAACTAAGTCAGTGCTGCTGCAATCGATTGCAGCAGCTTTGATTTAGAGGGTTTGATGAAGACATGCTAAATTGATAGGACAGCATGCTTCCATTAATCTGTGTACTTTACTCCCTGAAAAGTGTAAGGGAAGTATATGCGGAGGAGAAGTTATTCTCAAGGCAAATGATCATATTGGAAAAAGTGAATAAGGAAAAGTTATTTATTTGTTCCCATAACATAAAAACTAGGGGTCACCAAATGAAATTAATAGGTAGCAAGTTTAAAATAAACAGAAGGAATTTTTTCTTCACACAGCACATGGTCAGCCTGGGAACTTCTTGCCAGAGGAGATTGTGAAGACCAGGACTTTAACAGGGTTCAAGAAAGAACTAAATAAATGCATGCAGGTTAGGTCCTTCAATGCCTATTAGCCAGGATGGGTAGAAATGGTGTCCCTAGCCTCTGTGAGAGGCTGGGAATGGGTGACAGGAGACGGATCACTTGATGATTCCCTGTTCTGTTCACTCCCTCTGGGGCAACTGGCATTGGCCACTGTCGGCAGACAGGATACTGGGCTAGAGGGACCTTTGGTCTGACCCAGTATAGCTGTTCTTATGTTCTTATGATGATATAATGATATGAATAATGCAATTAAAGTAATTTTCAGACTAATGATTTCATGACCATATTTTTCACACTGTTTCTTCCAGCCATATGCTTTAATTCCATCTCAGTTTATCTCATTAAGATACTGTATCTAGTATTCAGAGTAAATAGTACAGAAGAACAGGAGCAGGCATCATGTGAATGATGTTTGACTCAGCTGAAGAAGTGGGCTCAAGGAGCAGAGTGGGTGAAAGCATATGTTGTTTGTACCTGACGATTTGAAATGGAAAAGAATGTGAGCAGAAGATGGGTGAAAATTAAGAGAACAGAAAAAAATCAAAGGGGAAATGAAAGAGAAACAAACAAGGATGAAAGGGAAAAAAGGATAAGAAAGAGATGAGTGAAAAGCAACCTGACAACAGAAGCTGAAGATGTAAGGTGGGCTCTAAATTTAATTATACATATTTTTGTAAATGGTCAAGAAATCTAAAGCCTGGTGGGCCAAATAGTCTATTGAATTTGATTTCTAGAATGAAAATGATGTATCCTAGCAAAGTGTTTTCCAACAGTAATACACTGAAAACTATGTGAGAATCAAAAAGAGATCAGAGAAGCATGCAAGATGCTGGGGGATGGAGAGCTAAGGGAACTGGTAATAGGGTAGTAAGACTCATCTCTTCGCTGAGGCTAAATTTTAGTCTGCCCTTTAGTGCTCCATGTTTAATAAATTGGTGGCCTCTGCAAAGTTTCAAAGGACAATGGAACTATGGGCATGCTTTAAATTATACATATGTTTAAGTACTTTGCTGACTAGGAACCAAGGGCAAGAGTCTGTGCTGTGGCTTTAAGAGGCATAGCTTGGGTCTATATTACTGCATCCTCCCAAGACTACCCTATGGCCTGTACCGTCGCTCCAAATTTCAGCAGCATTGTGTGCTGTGCCTCTGCACCAATTCACCCTTTTTGTTTCCGGTCCTGTCCCTGGCACAACCCCTCTAACAGGATTTGCATATAGTCCTTGTGGCCGGGCCAGCCTTACAGCTGTCTACCACAGGTCTTGTACCCAGAGAATCATTCCCAACCCACAACCAGCTCTTTTAGGTCCCCTTAATGTGTCTTTCTCACTTTTACATGATGTAAAGGCTCTTACTTCTGGTATTTTACTATTTTCAATTGATTTAGTTGCAAGTTTTTAAAATAAATGGTCACAATTACAAAACTTTAAATTTCAATAGTAGCTGGTCATAAACACCAAAGTTTGGGTCTTAAACTCAGTCCCTACTTACCAAGAGCTAGTTGGCTATGGAGGCAGTCTGCTCAGATCCTAGAAAGAAGATGCCTCATATACTCTTAGAAGGTGTACTAATCCAAGACCATTGCTTTATGAGGAGTCATTTGCTTGATTCGAGGCCTTTTAAAGAAGCAAATTCTGAAGAATCCACCCCGATTTCTAATCCTGCACATTTTCCAACAAGAAACTAAACTAGTTTATTGCCTTCAGATCTGCAAAATCAAAAACAAAAACTCCACCATCAGAAACATTAAAAAGATTGCTCTAGATGACTCACAGCTTTGAACAATTCCTCGTGATAGGGATAATAAGATTTCAATTTCAAGGTCTGTTTTCCAGTCCAGTCAACATCAACACAATTCTTGGATCTAGTTGTTTAGATATCTGTACCACTGTTAAAGAAAATACAATAAAAATAATGTAAATCTACTTAGGATAAAGGTAATTAGTGCTACTGTATAAATAGCATACGTGTCTATCTATCCATGGATTTAGCACTAATCTATAATATAAATGTTCAGTTACTAGAAGACTTACCCAGCATTGCCCGGGTCCTTCAGGACAGGGGCTGGTGGCGTGGATGGTGAAGGTGTCAGGGCAGGAATTTGGTGATGTGGGGAGCTCAGGGCAGGAGGTGGAGGTGATAAATTGCTTCTCCCCGGGGTTGGCCCAGGGTAGCGAGGACTGCACACCTTATCCTCAAGCTCTCTTCCTTTCCCCACGGTCTGGCCCAAGGTGAGGGGGGGCTTTCTCTCTTCCCACAGCTTGGCCCAGGGCAGGGGATGGGACTCTCTCCCTTTCCCCTTAGCCTGGGTCCAGAAGCTCT